CCAGTCACTGAGGCTTGCATTCTAAGTGTCTGACTCCTCCTCCTCCTCCTTCTTCTCTCTCTCCTCAGATTTAATCGAAAATCCATTGATTCTAATTTTAAAATTTCATAAACATAGTATTCTTTCTCTCCTGTAACACTGTCGTGACCCTGGCCCAGGCCCTCATGACCTCACACCTGGACTATAACAATAGATTCTTTTTCCTGCCTCAAGTTTCTCCCCACTCCATGTATCTTTTACTCAACCATCAAAGCGATCTTCTTAAATGACAGATCCAACCACATTAATTCCCTATTCAATAAAGCCTGGTGGCTCTCCATTGTCTCCAGGATCAAATACAGCATCCTCTGTTTGGCTTTTCAAGCTCTTCATTATCCTGGCCCCTTCCTCCTTTTCCAGTCTTCTTATACCTTACTCCCCACCATGTAGTCTGATCCAGAGACACTGGCCTTCTTGCAGTTCCTCACCTAAGGCATTCCATCTCTGATGGTGCATTTTCATTGGTTCTCCCCCATACCTGGAACTTTCTCCTTCCTCATCTCTGCCTCCTGGCATTCTTCAGGTCTCAGCTAAAATCCCACTTTCTGCAGGAAGCCTTTCCCAATCCTCATCATTGTTGGTATCTTCTCTCTGAGATAACCTCCATTTTAGCCTGTATCTGCTTTGTTTGCACATAGTTGTTTCTGCATGTTGTCTCTCTATTAGGCTGTGAGCTTCTTGAAAGCTAGGACTGTTTTTGCCTTCCTTTTATCCCCAGCACTTAGCACAGTGCCTGGCATGCCATAGGTGCTTAATAAATGGTTGGTGACTTCCAAGGAGTGATCTGCTTCTCCTCCCCTAGCTCTCCAGAGACAGAATATTTAAATATTCTATCAACAAAGACAACAGAATGCAAGAGCAAGGAGAACAGTTGACTGAGGAGAAATGCCCAGTGAAGAAGAGAAAGCCTGGGAAGAACAAAGAAGGTCAAATCCTGGGTTTTTTCTTACAATGTGATTTTATTCTCTGCACCAGCAAGCTACAGCAGCTTGTGTTCTAAAAACTGAGTCAAGTATGTTTGCAGCTGCCCTTTTGGTCATGCCTCTCCAGAAATCATCATCATCATCATCATCATCATTACTGGTGTAGTGGAGATAGAGGGCTGGTCATGGAGTCTTGAATATCTGGGTTCAAGTCTTATTTCTGACATGTACTGATTGTGTGACCCTAGGCAAGTCACTTAACCTCAGACTCAGTGGCTTCCAAGGTCCTTTTTAGCTCTAAATTGATGAGCCTATAAGATAAGATGAGCTGAGCCTCAGAGGGAATTGGGGATTCTAAGTGGAAGAGATGAAGCAGAGAGCCCAGTCCAGGCATGGAAGATAGCATATGCATGGAGGCAAGAGGTGCAGTATTATTTATGGAGAACAGTAAGTAAACCAGTCAGGCACAATGCATAATTATCCTGAAAAGTTAGGCTGGAGACAAATTGTTATTTTAATGCCAGAGGGAATTGTAGAGCTAGGTCCCAAGTAGTGCTGATAACAAGATTCCCCAAAGTGGTCGCATTAGTAGAATTTGTAGTCTTCCTGACTCCTGGCACTCTATACGCTAGTTGCCTTGTAGAAGCAGATAAATACAATAAATGCTAAAGAGGTGAAATCGATAAGACTTGGAAACCAGTTAGGGTCAGGGTGATGGGGAAGAGAGTGTAAGTGAGTGTGAAGAATTGAAAATTACTCCAAGTCAGGGAACCTGGGAGACCTGAAGAATGGTGGTGTGCTGGACAGAAATAGGGAAAATAGGATGAGGAGTAGGTTTAGGAAGAAAGATAATGAGTTTTGTTTGGGGCATGGTGAGTCTGAGATGCCTACAGAATATCTAGATGGAGATGTTAAACAGGCAGTTGGAAATGCAGGAAAGTGGAACTCAGTAGAGAGCTGAGGATTAGATTGGGGAGCCATTTTTGTAGAGCTCAAGGTGAATCCATGGGAGCTAATGAGACCCCCAAGGAAGGGAAAGAAAGAGTCCAGGATGGAGCACTGGGATACATACAGACATTCCCTCCCCACTCCCTACCCCCACATTCACATATCACATAAACCATACCACATGTACCACACACAAATATACATACACCACATACACACCAAAAATGTCCTTAAATGGGGCATCCAGAATTGAAAGCAATACTCCAAAGATTGTCTGATGAGGGTTGCAGCAGGGATAGCACCTTCCTCTTTTCAGGCACAGTGCATTTTAGGATCACGTTAGCTTTTTGCTGACACCTCAATCCCATTGACTCATTTTGACCTTGCCAGTTACAGGTAAGTTCTGCCCATCAATCTAACCTACACCTGGCAGAAAAACAAACAAACAGAACTTTATTCCCAAGCATCAGGTACCATGATAAATATCACTCAGGATCCTACAATGGATCTGCTGCATTTAGTTGAGTTTCTCACAATTTTTATCTTTGTTTTCTCTGAATTTGTTACCCTTGGTGTCTTTTAAAAACTTCTCTTCTTCTAGTTTGTATTGCATTTATTCTGTGGTTTCTTGTGTCTCCTTGACTAAACTGTACTGTTCATGGGGACAAGGACCTTGTCTTAACTGTCAGTAAGTCAATAAACACTCATTAAGCACTTTCCAAGAACTGTGCACAGCACTGGGGATACAAAGAAAGGCAAAAAACAAAACAACAAAACCCCAGTCCCTGCCCTTAAAGAGCTCACAATCTAACAGGGAGACAACAAGCAAACAACCATTGTACAAACAAACTATATTAGAAGATAAATTGGAGACACACAACAAAGGGAAGACACTAGAATTGAGGGGGCTCAGGAAACCATTCCTTTGGAAGATGAGATTTTAGCTGGGAATTGAAGGAAGCCAGAGACAGTGATGAGGAGGGAGAAAATTCCAGGCGTGGGGAGGAGAGATGAAAGTGTAAAAGACTGGAAAAGTGGAGGGGGCCAGGTTAGGAATGTCTTTGAATGCCAAACATAGAGGATCTTATATTTGATCCTAGAGCTAATAGGGAATCCCTGGTGTTGATTGAGTGGGGTTGAAATGGTCAGACATGAGTTTTAGGAAGATCACTTTGACAGCTGAGAATGGACTGGTGTAGGGAGTGACTTATGGCAGGAAGATCAACCAGCAGGCTATTGCAATAGTCCAGGGGTGAAGTGGTGAAGGCTTGCACTAGGGTGATAAAGAGAAGGGAGCATTTATTATAAAGATAATATCAACAAGCCTTGGCAACAGATAAGAGGAGTGAAAGAGAGGGAGAATATTGATTAGAGGAATGCAAATTAAAGCAACTCTAAGGTACCACCTCACACCTATCAGATTAGCTAACATGACAAAAAAGGAAAATGACAAATGTTGGAGAATATGTGGGAAAATTGGGACACTAATGCATTGTTGTTGTTGTGAATTGATCCAACCATTCTAGAGAACAATTTGGAACTATGCCCAAAGGGCTATAAAACTATGCAATCCCTTTGATCCAGCAATACCACTGCTAGGTCTGTATCCTAAAGAGATCATGAAAAAGGGAAAAGGGCCTACATGTATAAAAATATTTATAGCAACTCTTTGTGGTGGCAAAGAATTGGAAATTGAGGGAATGACTATCAATTGAGGAATGGCTGAATAAGCTGTGGTATGTGAATGTAATGGAATACTATTGTGCTGTAAGAAATGTGCTGTAAGAAAAACCTGGAAAGACTTGTATGAACTGATGCTGAGTGAAATGAGCAGAACCAGGAGAACACTGTACACAGTAACAGCAACATTGTACAGTAATCAACTATGATAGACTTAGCTCTTCTCAGTAATACAGTGATCCAAGACAGCTCCAAAAGACTCATGATAGAAAATGGTATTCACATTCAGAGAAAGAACTATGGCGTCTGAATGCTGATTGAAGCATACTGTTTTCACTTTTTTTTGTTTTTTTTTCATGATTTTCCATTTACTATGTTTCTTCCTTCACAACATTACTAATGTGGAAATATGCTTAACATGATTGCACATGTATAACCTATATTAGATTACATACTGTCTTGGGGAGGGGGGAAGGGAGGGAGGCTGGGCAAAAAATTTGGAACTCAAAATCAAAATGAATGTTGAAAACTATCTTTAAATGTAAATGGAAAAAATAAAATACTGTTTACAAAAAAAATGAAAAACAAGAGCAAATTAAAAAAAATAGAGATTGAAGAATTGAAGATGACACCTTCGTTGTGAGCCTTAGTGACGGGGAGGACGGTGGTGCCCTCAATAGTAATAGAGAAAATAGGAAGAAGGAGGATTTGAGGAGAAAGATAAATGAGTTCAGTTTTGGACATGTTGAGTTTTAGTTTCTATGTAACACTCTGTTGGTGGTTGGAGATGTGAAGATGGAGGATGGGAGAGAGGTTAGGGCTAGACTAGTAGAGCTAAGCCATCTTAATAGAGATGATAATTTGTATGAGTGGGAGAGTAGAACTATTGAGTAGTGAGAGTAGTATTGAAAAAAAAAGAAAACTCATTGGGCAAGCAATGTAGTTTTGTTACTGATGTATTAAATTATATTTAAACTTTAAAAAATGAAGTTGGATGTAATAGAAGCTCACAGTTTCACATTCGATCCTTTTTTTCTTTTTTCTTTGTATTAAAATGTTTGTATTGGGTGATATTTGTTAAGTTCATGATTTTTTAAAAGATACACACACACACACACACATATACACATTTTACAGACAGTTCTTGTTCTGGAGTCAGCTGCTCTGTCACGAGCTATTTACATGACTTTGTGTAAATCAGGTACCCTCTCTGGACCTCAGTTTCTTTACCTGTAAAATGAGGGGGTTGATCTTGATGGCCTCTGAGGTCCCAGTGAGTGATGTACACACACCCGAAGCATCTCTCCTTCCCCTGAAGTCCAGGGGTACTTGTTGTCTAGGCTCCTTATTTAGTACTTAGCTTATAGATGTCCATCTGATTCCTGACACAAAACCCAATCTTTTTAATAGGAATATTCTTCCTGTGATGCTGTGTGGCTGTGGATCATGGAATGGCACTATCCACAAAGAATCAAAATGGTGGATAACCCCAGGGAGAATGGGAAGACACCCAGTGGGCTGAAGGTGGTTGCAGCCCAAGATAACTGGGGCTCAAGTGTCCTAAAGGGAATGGTCCAGGAAGCAGAGGATCAAAAAAGGAGGTAGGCTGGTCATTTAGTGAAATGAAGGAATGCCAGATGGAATCAACAGAGTGGAAAGACCAAGAGGTAGATTCTGTGTGGAATACTCATGGCAAGATATGCACTGCATGAGAAGGTAAGTGCAGCCTGTGTTTAAACTGATTAGATGGAGTATTCACATGAATCATGATATGAGCTGTCATCTCCATAGCACTTTAAGGTTTACAAAGCACTTTACAAAATCATCTTATTTGATCCTTACAACAACCCTGTGAGGTAGGTGCTATTATCATCCCCATTGAACAGATTAGGAAATTGAGGCACACAGCTCCATAGGATTCCATGATCACAGACCTAGAGATAGAAGGAACCTCAGAAAGCATGTAATCCAACCCCCTCATTTTACAGATGGGGAAACTGAGGCCCAAGAAGGTACAGTGCCTTGCCCAAGGTAACAGAGGTAATGAATGTTGAAGGAAGGGTCTGAACCCAGGTCTTCCCGACTCCAGGTCCAGTACTCTATTTACCATACCCCATCAATTAATTAATGAAATCATGGAGCTGTTGAAGTATTTTGCATTCTATTGTTATCTATCACAGATGTATGTAAAGTTTTCAAGAGAGTCAGAGACACAATATGAAATAGCACAGCAGGTTTCTCCCCGGCCAGACTCTAAGCCACTTGAGGGTAGGGATGTTGTCCCATACCTTTGTGTCAAGCAGTGTCCTCAGCTAACTGTGTTCTCAATGTATCTGTGTTGTTTGGAATTATGATTAATCAGGTGTTCCTGGGGGCAGGGACTGTGCCCTATCTGTTGTTGGCATTTATTCCTCCCCACCCCACCTAAAGCATTCTGCACAAGGGATACTCAAAGAGAACTTGCTTATTTTGCAGACATAATAAATAATAATGATGATGATAATAGTAAAACCATCTTGCTGGTGGACAAAAGTAGAGTGATTCCATAAGGGCACCTGTGGTTCTGGGCAAATGTCAGCACTGCAGGGTATGGGAACATCTCTGCATATGGGACACTTGTCAGATGGGTTCACAGCACCCTGACCCTGTTTTTTTGTTTTGGGGGTTTTTTTTTTGTTTTTGTTTTTGCAGGCTGGATAATTTTTTTTCTTTTTTAGGTTAATATACATATTTTGAAAACAAACACATGATTGATGTTTATATGTTTCTACCTAGTTGTTTTTATGTTGCTTGTTTTGCTTGGATGCTCTTTTGGTTAATGAGGACTAAGCTTAGAAGAAAACAATAAAAGAGTACAACAAAAAAGAAAGAGAAATCTCTTACTTTGCCTTTTTTTTTATTTTGCTTTTTGCTGAGGCAATTGGGGTTAAGTGACTTGCCCAGGGTCACACAGCTAATAAGTGTTATGTGTCCGAGATCGGATTTGAACTCAGGTCCTCCTGAATCCAGGGCCAGTGCTCTATCCACTGCACCACCTAGCTGCCCCTTACTTTGCTGTTTTGCTTAGGGCCCTGGTAGCGGTGGAGCACTGCAGAAAATTCTTCTCTAGTTAAACAGACCCTGGTTTTTTAATTCATTAAGTGAAAGCACAGCTGTTCCTAAGCAGGAACAGAGCCATTCCCTGGGGCCCACCCCCAGGGCCTGCCATGTTCTCCTGACCCCCAGCTTCTCGGATTTAGATTCCCCCAAAACAGGGGTCCTGAAGGGCTGCACATGGAGCCACAGGCACCTGACAGGGTCTTCTTGCTCAACCCTTTCCTTTCACAGAGGAGCAACCTGAGGGCCCAAGATCACGTGGATAGCAAGGGGTCGAATCAGGATTGGAACCCATGGCCTCTACCAGCACATGGAGCTAGCTTTCCCATTGCATCATCACTCTTAGGGCTACAGGGGCAGCAGAAACCTGGGTCCATTAAGAATATACCTGTTATCTTTTGCCTTTTCCTCAGTGTCCAATTCTTCCAAAGCCAAAGTCGTATCTGCCTCAGGAAGCCCATTCCTGTCTCCAAATGATGGCCTGGATGTCACTGGGGTCGGGGGGGGGGGGGGGGGGAGGCGCCTTCCTTGATGGAACTCACACCCTAGACCAGCAAAGGACACAAAAATGCTGCTGGCTGCAGACTGGCCAGGTGTTTGTTGGTGCTTTCCCACAATGACCCTGGAGGGAGAGCAAAGCCCACTTCTCTCTTCAGGGGAAGAGTTCTTCAGCTGGGCTCCTTGGACCCCTTCAAAATCTCAAGGGATCTATGAACTTGCATGGGGGGAATATCCTTAATTTAAATTTGGAATTAATATATGTATATATTTTTATTTTTCAAAAATTTATTTCAATTATTTAAAATATTTTTCTGAGAAGGGGTCCATAGGCTTCACCAAATGACTACAAGGGTTCATTAAAAAGATTAAGGACCCCTACCTTTGAGGCTTAGCCCTTTTAAACAATAATTATTGTTATAATACTAATAGTAATAATAATAATAGCTAACATTTTTGCAGGGGTGGGGAACCTGCGGCCTCCAGGTCATGTGTGGTCCGCTAGGTCCTCAAGTGCAGCCCTTTACAGAACAAAGTTTGGATTTAGTCAAAAGACCTCACTTGAGGACTAAGTAGGCCACTCGTGTCCTCAAGGCCACAGGTTCCCCACCCCTGGTAGAGCTTGCTATGTGCCAGGCCCTATGCTACGTGTGTTACAATTATGATCTCATTTGATCCTCGTAACAAACTGGAGAGGCAGGTACTATAATTATTCTCATTTTACAGATCAGGAAACTGAGGCAGACAGAAGTTACATAACTTGCTCAGAGTCAAACAGGTAGAAAGGAGGGAGGTGCTATTATTTTCCCCATTTTACAGATCAGGAAACTGAAGCAAACAGAAGTGAAGGGTCTTGCCTAGGGTCACAAACCTAGTAAGTTTCTGTGGCTGGATTTGAAGTCAGGTCTTCCTGACTCCAGGCCCAGCTCTCTATCCACTGATCAACCTAACTGCAGTGTCATTAGTTAAATGGAATTCCCTTGTCCTAGGAGAGAAAGTAGCAGGCATGGTATTGGCTACTTCTTTGGGAGAATCCCAGTACTATATCTTCCCTTAGAAGGCAAGAGATTTACAGTAAAACAGAGATACTTCATTTTCTCTTTCTCCAACAACAGAAATGATAGAAATTTAGTGTTAGAAGGGATTTTCAAGCTGATTATATATATGGGCATACATGAAACAGATACCAAATGATTTGGGAAGGGGGCACAGGCAGTGAGGAGGCTCCTAAGAGCCTTCATGTAAAAGAAGATGCTCCAGTTGAGCCTGAAAAGAAACGAAAGATTCTAAGAGGGGAAGGGGAGCTAGGTGGCCCAATGAATAAAGCATGGTCATGTAGTCAGGAAGAACTGAGTTCAGATTCTCTCTGAGACACTTACTAGGTGTGTGACTCAGGGCAAGTCTCTACCACATTTTTTTTCAGACAGGACCTACCTTCCAGGGTTGTTGTAAGGATAAGCTATCACATCTGTAAAGCATTTTAGAAACCATAAAGGGTTCTGTACTAGCTAGTTAGCTATTATTAAGGACAGGAGGGAGTGCATTCATTCCAGGCACAGGGGATAAGCAGCGACTTGAAAGTCACAGAAAGAGGAATTAGTGCGCTGGGCATGAAGATTATAGCTCTGAAGGTGGAAGGAAGCTCAGAGGCCATCTAATGCAACATCTTCTTTGTTTAGGTGAGGAAAGTAAGGCCTCTAGATGTTAAGTGACTTGCACAAGGTTGCCCAGGTTAGTGTCAGAGTGGAAATTTGAACCCAGGTCTTCTGACTTTAGAATCAGCCTCTTTGGGCCCTAGAGTGTATGGAAAAGTTTGAAGGCAAAAGGAGGAAGGGACAGGAGAGGATGAGATAGAGAAATACTGTCACCAAAGCATAGAACATGAACTTGGACAGACTTCGGGAGGAGAGAAGGGCCTGGAATGTTGTGGTCCATGGGGTCATGAAGAGTCGAATACAATCGAATGACTAAACAACACAACAACAGTAAAGGACTGTCTGAAAAGATTAGGGCTCTGACCTGTTCTCTCCCAAAACCACTACCCAAGACACCAGAGGTTTCTTTTCTTTGGGCTTCTTCTCTCTTGAAACAGTGGGACCCCTATTTCCCTCTCGAGGGGCATTTGAGTCCATGCTATTCTAGCATCAGCTGGAGGGACTGGAAATGTTTAGCTCAGAGAAGAGAAGACTTGACCCTAATTTTCAAGTATTTGAAAGGCTGTCATGTGAAAGAGGGTCAGATTTGCTTTACTTGGTCCAGAGGCAGAAAAAGAAGCAATAAGTAGAAGTTATAGAAATGTCATTTTGGGTTCTTAATGCAAGGCAGTATCACATCAAGCCTTGGTGTCAGGAAAACTTGAGATCAAGCCAGAGGTCAACTGGTAAAAGGTAACAATTGACTCCTCTCTACCCTCCTCCTCCTGCCAAAAAAAAAAATTATAGAATTTTAAGTTTAATCTGCAGTATTAATATTTTCTCCATTACTTTCTTAAGTCTCTAGACATTCAATAAAACCATACTTCAAGCTCCGATTTATTGCTGATTTCCTAAATGTAAATGCTCTTGGGAGAGAGCTCTGGGAGAGAACCAAAGCACACTTTGGTTCAAGCCCCTCCTTTGATACATCCTGTCTAGGGAATTGTAGGCAAATCCCTTAAACTGCCAAGCAATTAAGACTATAAATTACAGATTTCCTCATCTGTCAGATGAGGAGCCGGCCTAGGTGACAGTTCTCAAGCTATAATTCAACAAGTTGCCAATCTACATTGTTGGAAGGAATTTCCACACGAAGTATTCCCCATACCAGTGAAATCACAGTACTGGCCTCACCCCCAAGGCTTTCCTCAAATCACATCCTAACAAACAGAATTATTTTCAAATTAAAAAGACTGCTTTGAGAAGTAGCGTGTCTCCAACATCTGAGGTCTTCAGTAGAAGCTAGATGTTTTAGAAAGGAGTTTTGTTCAAGCACCATGGAGGATATCAGGCTCCACAGCAAACAAGAACACTTAGTCTTTATTTAGCCTAGTTTTTAAAGGCAATTTAATAGAAATAATAAAATACCTTTTAATATGAAATCAGAAGTTGGTGTGGCCTAAAAGAAAAGGGGCTCAAATGTCTTAGAGCATGACTAGGATGACTTGGATTTCAATTCCATTCCGACACACAATAGCAGCATGTGACTTAGTTTCTAAGTCACAAATAAATTGCTGATCTATATCTCTGTTAGGAATTTCTATCTGGAACTTCCCAGCATAGATAAAAAATCAAATCCTAATCAACAAAAATTTTTATATACGTAATCTCCCTCATCCCTTTTCCATGTTATATTCCAGAAAGGCATAGATCCAAGTATTTAACATACTTAGATATATGTACAAAACATATGGTAAAACTTAAGCCCCCAAATCCCCGAGTTAAAAGGCTTCAAGTCCTTGAAACAGGTTAATAAACACCATGAATTCTTTAAATAGGTTAAAAAGTTAATATATTTAATAATATTACAATACATATGTATATACAAATATATGTACGAGAACATTTATGTAATTGATATCCTGCTTAGCATGGCATGCCCATTGAATACATCAAATATGTCACTTTGTATACTTTTTGTGAAAAACAAGACAGGAGAAAGGAAAGGAGTAACAATAAGAACCGGAATTGGAGAAAGATGAGGCTGTCAGTCTAGTAGAAGAAATCTCAGCCTAGGTTATCCTGGCTCATTTACCTGTTCCCTCAGGAGCTCTGATGTAGAGGAGTATGGCAGGCAAGGGAAGAGATAAAGCGATTGATCAAGGCATTGACAGAAGCCACTGGGGGCAGTCCTTTTTGCTAGCAGGCCCTCCAAAGTAGCTTAAAAGAAATGTGAGATGTGCATAGTCAGAGACATATCCACTCCAAATGTTCATGTGGACCATTTGTGCCTGTCTTGTAGTATAGAGCCTTCTAAGCTCATATTAGTTTGACCACAGCCAGACACGCTGTACCGTCTCCTGGACATTGCAGTGTTATTTTTTTCCTCTTTGAGAATGAAAGACAACCACCAACCAACCAATCTTATAACTATAATTCAACTAAAAGCAATCTAATCCTCAATACATGGATATTATCAATATATAGTTCTTAATTCTATTACCCTTATACAATCACTGATACCCATTAATCACAATGAACTGAGTAAATACTGGTTAATTTAGTAGGGGTATCAAAATTATTGTCACCTACATGTAGAAATTCTTCTCCTAGAGGTTTAAACAGCCAAGCACTGAAAGGATTAGGCTGATTCATTGATAAGTGATGTAGAGCACCAGCATCTTTACAGCTGTATTTTCTTATCACTTCTGGAAAAGCTCCACATTGTTTCTAGGTACTGGAGTTCTTGAGCATTTTACTGTTGCTATGCCTGGTTATTCTCTCTAATTCATACATATTTGTGGTTGGAAATCTTCCCTTCTAATCAGAAAATGGTCATTTTTATTACTCCATCCAATCATTTCTATTTTAAGCAAAAGGAAGGGAAAAGTGCTACTTTATGTTAGAATTCAGTACAACTGACAAGTGGGTTTACCACAGTGTGGAGTAAAGACTTGCAGTGTGTCACTAAAGTATATTCTGCATCAAGTTTTTTTTTTTTTAATTGGAATAGAATGGTAGTGAGAAAGCCTACAATTTTTTTCAAGGAAATGAATCCTTACAAATATTCATTTTTCTAGAAAAGGTAAATTTTGTCAGGTGAGCAGTAAAGAGAGTGATATATTAATTCTTTTTATGTATCTTCTGTGCTGGGATAAGTTTATGAGATCTTTGTGAAACTATCTTCTCTCTGTAAGTATAGATTTCCCTGTAATTTAATGTGTTTCATATTTAGGGTGTGTGAAAATGGAAAAATAGCATCCAATTATTACTTCATTTAGAAAATACTATGCCTTTGGTTTTTGATGAGACTTATAGTGGGTAAAAATTCCAAGAGACAAGGTTCCGGGTATGAAAAAGCAATTTATTAACTAGGCTAGCAAATAATCAATAAATTGAGGTCATGATCTCTCTTGGTGACCAAAGATGCCAAAGGAACATCCCAGGTCTGTCTTCCTGACAGCAAATTACTGGGATCTTCCCTGACAAGAGAATTGGTGGATATTTAATGAGGAGGTAGGCTAAGAGCTCTCAACACCTCCAGATTACTTCATCATGGAGAGGGGGAGGTCAACTGAGGAACAAAGCCTTATAATGAGATTCAGCATTCTCCAGCAATCTGGGCAAGGAAAACCACTCTATTCTCACTTGGTTTCTCCTTTGTGAGCCAGGTCCCTCCAAACTTTGATGAAGGGAACAAGGATACAAGAAACTCTCTTGATAGTGTTAACCAGCTCAGGCTGGCTTCTATTTACAGGGTAAACAGAAAGGCCCAGCCCAGGCCTTGGGAGAGACAGGAATGTGATCACATCCCTCAGCTAGAATGAGAGATCTCTCTAAAAGCTAGGTTGAAAGGTGAAGGGGAGGGGTTCAGAAAAGGCAGTATTACATTTTAATATTAATACAGCATTAAAATTCATTTTCCTCATTCCCCACTTTGATTCACTGAAAGACAGTCTCTTCAATGAATCACTAACTGGTATGACAGTTATAAATCTCCAGATTGATTCACTAGGGTACAACAAGACCTAAAGGTACTAAACACTTCACCAAGGGTTTTTAACAATGGGGCGTAAGTGTTTTATCAAGATGGGAACTGTGTGAGGGGAAAAAGAAGAGAGATTGACCAAGATATTATCAGGAATTGCTGGGGTCAGTCCCCTGCAGCAAGCAGACCTTACAAAGAACACCAGTGCATGGTAAACAGTCAGTGTCTTTCTCACTAAATCATTTCTCCTGTCCCATTTCATCAGTTCATCACATCTTAGGGCTTAGATGTCTTAAGTAACTGTCTGGTTTCTGAGAATGTCTTGTACTGCAGTTGTCTGGTCTTCTCTTGGGCATTCTGGAATAGGCAGGTTCTCAGAACAGCTTCTTCTAGCATATCTGCTTCTCAGGTCACTTGCAGAGATCCCCTTTGTGTTAAAATCTCTTGCAAAATTGATCTTAATATAATTTAATGCAGTTACTTTAATTTTGTTTTGCCAATAACTAGGTTATGGGGTGAAAACTAGCTCAAACCTTATGGTTTTAATCCTATTCATAATAGAGTTATATGAAGACCATCAAATTAGGAACCTCTAGATCAAAGAATGTACATTTGTCCATCTTTATCTAAACCAGATACTTGATTTAGACCCTGAACTTAAAAAAAAACAACTATGAGGATCTGACTTTTAGAATGAGCCCTTATGGTTATGATTTTATGTTTACCAATGTAGATATATAAGCTAAGGTCTAAGACTGCTTTTTAAATTGGCATTGATTTCACCACCATTTAACTTCTTTAGATTGGCATTCACTTAGTTTACCTTTTACCATGGATTCAAGTCCCATAAAGGGAAAAACTTCAGTTTTATTATCTATAGTCTGTTCTGTGAAAGTTAGCACAGTGTGGTATTGATGTATCTAGTGTGAAGGGAATTGTGATTTTCACATTAATCAATATGATATGTGTAATGAATATACTAATAATTTAGATTTCTCAAGAGCTGTCTTTCTGGCTTGGGAGTCAGACTTACAATGAGAGCTATTGAAATGATCAACCAAACCTTTGACAGTGCTCTCACAATCACTGCATTCTTGTGCCTGTGTACCTTAAGTGAATCAAATCAAAGATTGTAGAACCTCTTCCCATCACAGAACTCTGGTCCTGTACCCCTCTAAGTAACTACCTCCAAAGACTTCAACAATATTGCTCCAGAATTGTTGTATTGTCTTCCGTTAGTGGGCTTGTCATGGGAAACCACTCAGTTCTTGGGAAATGATTGTTTGTAATCCACCTTCCCCTGTCTCTTCCCACTTGTGATTTATGTATATAATCTGTCTTCACTTCAGCAAGGTGGAATTCTGATAGGGGAAATTCCCGATTTGCAAATCTGTTCCTCATAATGAAACTAATTAATTAAATCACTACCTGATTATACTGGTACTTTGTCTCTGGCTTGCTGTTTCATCATTCTCAGATTAGAGACTGGCTCAGTAAAATCCTGTTAACACTAGGCATAAAAATTCTGAACCCAGTTATTATATTAGATAGATAAACACACACATATACACATATTTATATATATAAAATCATCTGATCTTTTTTCCTCAAAAAATTTTCACTCTAGCTGTTTACTTCTGTTTTTTATTCTAGTTATTTACTTTCAGCTCCTTATACTTCTCATAGGAGGATGAGATGCTGCTAAGGATCCAATCCTATACAGGAGCGTATAAGTAACAACACTTTTTGTAAGTAGTTGACTTTCATGCTTAAGTTTAATGGCCACACAAATGAATTTACCCCAAAGTTGCTTATTTTACTCCACTGTAACAAAAAAGTGTGATGGGGAATAATACAATGGGGAACAGAATAATAATTCCAGATTGTATCAAATGAGTTGTCTATAATAAAATATGTTTGCTCTTCCTGACACTCTCCACATAGGTGTTACTACCCCAATTAAAATAAACCTAAGTAAAACTGTATTTCTTTTTGGTGTAGCAGAAGATAGAGTCCACAAGCTTCTCTGCTTTAAGAAAAATGATTGCACTGAAGTTCTTTAATATAAAACAGAAAATGTTTCTGATTTAATCTCACTAAATAATACATTATACCTTGGTCCCACAAACTGCTGCAACATTGTCCAGTCATTCTCATAAAAAACACTCAGATACTTCAAGGACCTTATCTTATACATGCGTATGTGATTTGTACAAGAAAAATGACAAGCCCAAGTACTCATCTACTTAGTTGTTTAGGATATGAAAAGGAGTATGATTTTGGCTAACTAGCTTAGATTTTACATATCAGCATCTTATTATAATTGTTCAGATGTGTCCTAGTAGTATCCTATTAGATAAAGATTTGGTCTACTGACCACCTGTCATGATTATAGAAATTTACCATAAAAGGAAAAATAGAGATAGAGCTATAGTAAGGAAAAAAATGCTCCCTTGCTTTGATGTCAATTCTAGGTAAGAGTCAAATGGGCAAACAATTTTATTGACAGAATATCACAGCCAGGCTTAAAATATTAGACAGGTGGGAATATTTTCCATTCAAAAGGAAATATCACACTGGGGAAATTGAGTCAGGAGAGTCCTTCTTCATTACATCCCAAAAGTTGCCCTCCCAGCTTTCCCTGAGGCAGAATTCCACCTGCAGTTCACAGATGGCACTCCAATAGGGATGCTGGTGTTATGGATCATTGGCTCAATAATATTTCTTGACAGTCATATCTGGAATCAGACTCAAAATAAAATCAATTATAGTTCCATAAGATTTAACCTTAAGAATGTGTCAGCACCAATTGCTTATGTTCCTCTTTGCTGTTTCTATGGCTGATAAAACCCAAATTCTGGAAATGTAGGGCCTGATGGTTTCCAGTTGGTAATAAGAGGTAGTATGTACATATGCTTTAGTAGAGTACCTTGGTCCCAGATTAAATTAAATTATATTCAAACGCTTTCTGAACTGAATTTGTCATGGAGCCTAATTACTTCAAGAATTTCAAGCCTTCAGCCCTCATTCAGAATCATGATCAAAGAATCAGAAGGAGAGAACCCATGTCCTTCTGAGGCAGTCGATTCCATTTTTGGAAGGAACTAATTGTTAGTTTTTTCTGACATTAACCCCAATTTTTCTTCTTCCCAGCATCTATCCCATTGCTCCTAGTTCTGCCTGCTGAGGCCAAGCAGAACAAGAGGGGTAGATACCAGGACAGTGAATGGCCTTGAGGCCGTGTCCATAAGGAGGATCAGTTGTTGGAATGGGACATTTTCAGCCTGAAGAAGGGAAGACTCAGGGGAGACATGGGAGCTGTCTTCAAGTCTCTGGAGGCTTGCCATATGGAGGGAGGATTTGTCTTTGTCTGTTTGGCCCTAGAGGGCAGAACCAGGAGCAATGTGTGGAGGTGACCAAGAAGCCAATCTGATTAGGCTTGGTGTGAGGTCAAATGTCCTAACCATTAGAGCTGTCCAAAAGGGGAATGGGCTGCCTTCAGAGGTGGTGAGGTCCATCTCATTTGTGGTGGAGATTCCTTTCCTGTATGTGCAAGATTAGAGGGCTGCTGAACTTCCTTCCAGCCCTTAAGTGCTGTGATTCTGTGAAGTTGAATGACTCTTCCACAGTGCAGTTCTTCAAACACTTGATGATGGTTATCATGTCTCTAGGGGTCTTCTCTCCTGTGAACTAAACCATTAATGTTAGTAAAGTTCTCTGAAGCCAGAGAAGTGGATCATAGACCTCAACGTCATGGTGCTCTCTCAGTGTACTATTGCTGTTCTCTTTTGTCCTTTCTTAATTTAGGTTGCATACTATTGACCACTGAGAAAAAATGCTCATTTAATTACCTCATTTAATTTGACATTCAGACATCTGAGGAACTAAAGATTAGCAGTTCTTTCTATTTCTTTCTTGAGTGGCTAATAAGGAGATTAAGGAGCATTTATTGTACCAGGTTTATAAATGGATATTTTTTTCTTCAGTTTTGGCAAACAGTTACATGTCTGTCCTCACAGGGAGGCGGTCAAGTTTTTCCAGGTACTGTAACATAGGCAGCCATCCTTATATAAGTAGAGTCAGGTAGAAAAATGCTCATTAAAGTCCCTAGAAATAACATTGTTCTCAAAAGGTTCAGCAATATTTGTGCTAGGGAGTGGATGAAGAAAGAGATTAACAATGTTGTCGTTAGGCTCCACATCCTTCCTACAGCTCTGTCAACCTTCCCAGGAAAACTCTGAGAGGGAAGCAGGACACTGTGGAATGCCTCCTTACAGTTGTTTCTTTATGAGGAAACCAAACTCCTGACTAGTCCTACCCCATGCTGACCATTTTCCTGAATCAACTTTATTAACTTTACTTAAGTCACAGGATTATAGAGAAAGTAAATGAGAGAAATTTAACTGACCTAAACAGACATTTCAAAGTATTAGTTAAGGATCTGATCATTTAAGAGCCTCATTAAGGCAATATTGATTCACATTGATCTACTCATCAAACAGTAACTTTTCAGAGAAAGAAAATCTTTAAGGATTGACATAAAAATCCTTGTGCTGTCAGTGTGGGGTTATGGAAAGAGAATTTGGAATCTGAATCCCACTTGTGCCACTGACTAGTTGTGTGACCTTGTGAAAATCATTTAACCTTTAATAATAATAGCTAGTATTTATATAGCACTTTAAAGTTTGCCAAGCATCTTACCTATGTAATCTCATTTGATCCTCACAATGACCCTATGAGGTAGTTGCTATTATTATCCCCATGTTACAGGTGAGGAAATGTTAAGTGGCACAGAGATGTTAGGTGACTTGTCCCCAGGGTCACACAGCTAAAGGTCTGAGTCAGAATTTGAACTCAGGTCTTCCTGACTTCAACTCCAACACTCTATGTACTGTACCACCTGTGCCTGAGTCTCAGGAATCTTCATTCATCAAATGAAGGGGGGGGTGACTGAATTCCCATCCAGCTCTAAAAATTCCCTGACATTCTCATTTGCTTTCTTGCTTCTTCAGTATTTTATGTAGAAGAGATGAAAGAAAATCACTGACATTCAATATGTAAGTTCCAAGGCTGTTCCACTTATCTGTGTTTCATTCTGAACTTCCTTCTATTCTGGGCACTTTTGTTTTTGTTTTTTTGGTGAGGCAATTAGGGTTGTGACTTGCCCAGAGTCACACAGCTAGTAAGTATTATGTGTCTGAGGCCAGATTTGAACTCAGGTCCTCCTGACTCCAGGGCTGGTGCTCTATCCACTGCGCCACCTAGCTGCCCCTATTCTGGGCACTTTAAAAAAAAATGCTTCACTGATGTTCTTATTTATTTATTTATTTTTGCACTACCATCATTTAACTTTATCTCTTCTCCCACTCACAAATTTACAAAACAAAACCAAAAACAAAACAACCCTCCTTTGCAACCAAACAAAACAAACTGCTGCATTGGCTATGTTTGAAAATGTATGTCTTATTCTTCACTAGAGGCAAGATTTGAATCTAGGTATTTCTAACTCCAGGCTCAACAATCTATCCACTACTTAAAAATGCCTCCCATTATAAATATAGCAATATCACATCCTGGTAATAATTCAAGAATCTTTTGCTTCTGTTGTATTTTTTTCCAGATTATGCTCTCTATGTTCTCTGGTCAGGACAACACAGAGTTTCGGGGTACATGAAATGTCTTTCATATTCAGTTCCAGCATTTGTTCTGAATGGACTCCTTGTCTCTCAATTGCATCCATTTTGAAATCAAGATTAATTACCTGCTCAGTGAGTTTTGTCTACCCTAGAAGCTGGAGTTTTTGTTTTGATTGTGCCCTGTCATTCTTTTCATCAGTTTTCTCTAAATGCTCCAGGGATGAGGCCAGAGGTGGCTCTAGTGACAGGGAGAAATATGGGGTGGAGATCTGCCTTTGACCTCTTTTTCATTTTCATTTTTTGCCCTTCTTTTTCAGGGATTTCCCTTCTCAAGAAAGGAGCCCTTGGTTGTGGGGCAAGTTGGGCAAAACTGTCACCAGCTCAGAGGTAAGAGAGAGTGTCTTATAGCAAACACGCTGACAAGAAGAACACAGTTTCTTTTATTGATTTATTTATTTATTTTTTAAGAAATGACTTACACAGGGTCACACAGCTAGCAAGTGTCTGAGGCCAGATTTGAACTCAGGTTGTCCTGATTCTAGGGCAGGTTGCTCTACTCACTGGGTCACCTAACTGCCACAAGGACATGATTTCCAGTTGTGGTACCTGTCAGTGGCTTGGGGGCACCTTGGCCTTTGGAAAGTCAACTGGGCTTTAGTAAGCTTCTTTACTGCGTGCACCTAGGACCTCGTCCTTTTGGTGACCTTGATTCAAGCAGGTGACATAGCAGTCTACTAAATCTACAAGACTCTCCCATAATCATTCAGTCAGTTAATAAGAAATTATTTCTGTGTCCAAGGTACTATGGTAAGGTCTGGGGATAGAAGGGCAAAAAACACAATCCATTCTCCCTTGGAAGTCAATCTAAGTGGGGGAGGCACAATATACAAATAACTAGGGTATGAGGGGTTGAGTCACTTAATTTTTCTTGGCCTCAGTTTCTTATCTGTAAAATGATGGGGTTGGACTAGCTGGCCTCTTTGGTCTCTTTGAACTCTAAATGGATGATCCTATGATCTGTGTGTGGCCTTAGGTAAATCATCTAGACTCCCTGGGCCCCAGTCTCCTTATTTTCAAAATGAAGAGGTTGAGGTCTCTCCTACCTCTGTATTGCTGTTGCTAAAATCTTTCCTACCCTAGAGGAACTTATCAGTTGATCAACATGTATTTATTCAATCAGTCAATTAATAATCAATCAAAAGTCTTTATCAAATGCCTACCTTGTGCTGGGCCCATAAGTACAAAGATTAAAGTAATCTCTACTATTGATGAGCTAAGATTCTAATAGGGAAAACCAGTGCATATAAAAGTCATATACAGCATAAATGTAAAGTTAATACAAACTTTATCTGTGCCATTGGTTTTATATCTATATCTGTATGAAGGGTTTTTAACTTTTTTTGTTTCACGGATCTCATTGGCACTCTGGTGAACCCAATAGACTACTTCTCAGAATAATGTTTTTATATGCAATACACGTAGAATTACAAAATAAAACTAATTACATTGAAATTGTAGTCATTAGGTCATTTTCAATTGTGTCCAAATATTCATGACCTCCATTTGGAGTTTTCTTGCCTAAGATACTGGAGTGGTTTGCCATTTCCTTCTCCAGTTGATTTTACAGATGAGGAAAGTGAGGCAAACAGGGATAAGAGGCTTGTCCAGGGTCACACAGCTAGTAAGTGTTTGAAACCTGATTTCAACTCTGAAAGATAAGTCTTCCTGACTTCAGGTCCAGCACTCTATCCACTGTACCACCTAGTTGCCCCATATATTGAAATTGTTATAAAAATTTCTTTAAAAAATAATTTCAGGGACTTGTGATTAAGAACTTCTAATTGATAGCTATTTGTATACAGAAAGTAATTAAATGCAAGGGAGTTTGAGGAGTCAGTAGGAGTCGGGGGGTAGAGGTGGAGGAGGAGGACCAGCAAGGGTTTCCTGCAGAAGATGAACCTGAATTGCATTTTATTTTTTTCCACGTAATAGTATTTTATTTTTCCCAATTCCATGTAAAGATAGTTTTCAACATTCTCTTTTATAAGATTTTGAGTTCCAAATTATTTTCTCCCTTCCTCTCTCTCTTACCCCCTCCCCAAGAAGGCAAGCAATCTGATATAGGCTCTACTTGGGTTCTACATATACAATCATATTACACATTTCTACATTATTCGTGTTATTAAAGAAGAATAAGAAAAAAAGAGGAGAACCACAAGAAAGAAAAAAAAGGGAAAATAGTATGCTTTGATCTGGATTCAGACTCCATAGTTCTTTCTCTGGATGTGGATAGCATTTTTCCATCATGAGTCTTTTGGAATTGTCCTAGATCATTGTATTGCTGAGAAGAGCTAAGACTATCAGTGTTGCTCATCACACAATGTTGCTGTTACTGTGTACAATGTTCTCTTGGTTCGGCTCACTTCACTCAGCATCAGTACGTTTCTATCCAGGTTTTTCTGAAGTCTGCCTGCTCATCATTTTTTATGGCACAATAGTATTCCATTACACTCATGTATCACAACTTGTTCAGCCATTCCCTTATTGATGGACATCCCCTCAATTTCCAATTCTTTGCCACCACAAAAAGAGCTGCTATAAATATTTTTTGTACATGTGTGTCCTTTGCCTTTTTTTATGATGTCTTTGGGATACAGCCCTAGAAGTGGTATTGCTGAATCAAAGGGTATGCACAGTATTACAGCCCTTTGGGCACAGCTGAACTGCATTTTAAAGTAAGAGAGGGACTGGCAGGTAAGGAGGGAGCGCATTCCAAGCATGGGGAACTGGCAGTGCAAAGGCACAATGAGGGATAACGGAGTCTTTCCAATGACCTAGCTGGTTCTCCCCAACATCTTGACTAATCAATACCTGATGGGAAACATTTTTACCAGGAAGTACTCAGCCCCAGGACCACAGCAGCAGCGGGCCACTTAAGGGGTCTAGGCTGCCCTCTGGCTGCAGGTTAGTTGGTTCGCGTGTCTGCTACAAACTGCTTTGCTAGCAAGCTCCCTGGTCAACCGCCAGAGAGTACGGAGCACCTCACAACCGGCATTAAGGCCAGTTTTAAACCTCCCTAAAGTCTTCAGCATGGGCTTCACTGCACGCAAAGATTGCGAGGTCTAGGACAACCAAGAAGCCCCTCGCCAGCCGCCCCTCCCTCCACCTGTTACACAGCGGAGCCCAAGTCCCGCCCCTTTCTGGCCCCAGCCAACCGGCAGGCCCCGGGGGCGGACCACGTGCCGAGCGGGAGGCTCGATGGGGGCGGGGCGGCCACAGCTCGAGGGCAGGGGGCGGGGAGCCGGGGCAGCCTCCTCAGTCGGTTGTGGAGGCGGCGGGAACGGCCACTGCTGCTCAGCTGGAACCTGCTCAGGGAGAGCGGACTCGCCTCCGTGGGCGGTGGGCTACGGGACACATCCACGACCCCGGAGGACCTCGGTGTTCGCCTTGCGAACCCGCCGCTCCACCGGTGAGTGTAGCCGGGTCGGCCTTCCCCAGCCGCGGCCGTGGGGGAGGTGGAGGCGCGCAGGGAGCGGGCCCCATCCAGCCCCTTCCCCTCAGCTCCCATCCCCCAGGCTCGGGGTCCCTGGCAGAGCGAGGGTGGTGGCCCCGGGGTGAGCTATGAGGGCCTCCGCGGAGTCCTCGGGGAGCTCGTCCTCGGCTCGGCCCCCTGCGGAGCTTCCCGGGACGGGCCGGGGCAGTCGGTGCGGGACCAGGTGGCCGTGGAGGCGACATCGGCCGCCGCTCCGGGCACAGCCGGCCGCCCTCTCCTCCCTCAGCCTCAACCTTCTGGGCCCGAGGCTGGGCGATCCCCCCACCCCGGGCGTCCCCGGGACCCTCGGCCGGGAGTGTCTCCTGCCCGCCGCTGCTCCGGCTCTCTCTGGTTCGGAAGGAGAAGTCGGGGCCCCAGCGCCCGCTGCGGGGCTTGGGGGGTTGGGGAGGGACTGGGTGGCTCTGGCAGGACTCCGTCGGGCAAACCCATCGGATGACCGTGGAGCCTCGTGCACCCCTGCTTATCTTTCCTCGCCCGTTTCGTTTCCTGGATGTGGAAGTGACCTGGAACCCCTGCCCCAGCCCCGGGGGCCGCCTGTTACCTGTCCAGTCCGGGGCGGGAGCGGCGTCTGCAGCACTCCCTTTCCTTCATCCCTTTCTCTCCCTTCTCCCTCCTTCCCTCCCCTTTCTCTCCTTTCCTTACTTTTTCCTTTCTCTCCTTCCCTCCCTTTTCCTTTTTCCCCTCCTTCCTCTCTTCCTTCCCCCTCACCTCCCTTTCTGCCCATCCTTCCCCTTCTCCTTGCTTATCCCCTTCCTTTCCTCCCTTCTTCCTTTCTTCCGCTTCCCCTTCTTCTTTTCTTCTTTCCCTTTTCCCTCTCTTCCTTCCCTCCTTCCTTCCTTCTTTACCTCCTTCTCCCTTACACCTTCCTTCCTACTTTCCTTTCCTCTTTCTTGCCTATCTCTCTCCCTCCCTTCTCCTTTCTTTCCTTTCTCTCCCCCCTCCTTTCCCCCTCCTTCCCTGTCCCCCCCTTCCCCCCCCCCCCCCCCCCCCCCGAGCCCCCCCCTCCCCCGGCCCTCCTGTTTCTGTTTCCTGAAGCCCCCTTGCTGCCCTCCTAGCTCCTTCCTGGGCTGCAGAATGAGCTCTATCGCAGCTTGGCCGCGGCTCTGAGGGAGGCGGGAGCCCCTGGCCACCCACCCACCGGCCTGCTTGTTAGAAATTGGAGAGATTCCAAATTAGCGGGAGCCGTGGGCGGGTCCCAGAGGCTTCCTCCCGGGAAAAACGTGAGCAGCTCCCACCGCCCTGCCGGGAGTGGTGGGTGGTGGGGTACGGGAGAGCCCAACTCTGCTTTGAAAATCGTTTTCGAAGAGCCGGTTTGGTCATGGTGAACTGAAGGGTCACTTTGGCGTGCTCCCTACCCTGGACCTAAACGTTTTGGGGCAGTGCATTTTGGATTGTTTTATGTTTGGGAGGAAGTAGGGTGAGAAAGACAGCTAGAGATGGGCCTCCCCCCAAAAAGACTTTTAAGACTATCTTGCGTATCTCGTGTAGTAAGAATCCCCTACGTCGTCGCAAAGGTGTGCTGAAAGAGCAGATTTCTGAAATGACAGGCAAATTGTTTTCCTTGTTTTTCCTGAGGAAGAAATATTGAGGTGGGAGTGTGAAGATGTCGATATTGGGCCATGTTACAACTTCGGTTGAATAGTGCATTTCTTAAATTGGAAATAATTCCATCCTAAAGTACCCGGGGTTAGGTGGTTTTTTTTTTTTTGTTGGTTTTTTTTGGTGGGGAGGGGAGGGTAGAAATAGTGGTGACCCAAGCCATACATAGCTAGACAGCTGTAGGAAAGGATCAGAGCTGAAAAGGACTTGAGACTGTCTGTTTAGTTTTACTGGG